GCGCCCCTTTGCTCCCCCTGCCCGAAGAAGGGGCGCGCGAGGGCGCGATCCCTGCGCGGGGGGCGCAATTCCGTGCGCCCCGCGTGCCCAAAGCGCACACGCCTGGGGCCGCAGCTAAGCTTGGACGAGGCAGGGAAGCGTAAAATCTCCCCCTATTTCAGACCCGGGCTGCCCCAGCCTCCGAGCCCAGAGCCCCCGTCGCTCTGCAAGGAGGAACATCCCTTATAGGAGCAGCAGGGTGGGTCTCTTTGGGGGCCCATCTGTGCGCCCTCACGCCTGCCTGGACGCTCCTTGGGGTAGAGACCCGGTTCCATTCTTGGTCCTGTTGGTCTGCAGTCCTGAACTGGGACCTCTTGGTTAATCGCCTTGGCCATGGAGCAGGGCAGCTGAATTTTCGGTTGTGTCATTTCTAGTCTCCCCCCTCCCCGCGAAAACACAATCTATGTGCGGGGAGCAGGGAGGAGTTGACCCTACCCATCTCCGGTCACTACATGTGTATACAATATTTGATCTGTATTTATAGTGTGGCTTTTAAAAAAATGGTGTAAGCCACCTCGAATATTTTAAATAATAGCGGCGGGGCAAAAATATTAAAAAGAAATCAGCGTAAATGAAACGAGCACAGAGATGGAAAGGGACGGGAATTCACCCGGCGCTGAAAAGCGTATCCTGGTTCTGCACTCAAATGCCCAGGAAGGTGCGGGGAGAAAAACGCTCTTGGTTAAACATCCAATGAAGACCTCCCCATTGAAAAAAGGCCTCAAATATCTTAAATAAGAAAGGCTGGGCAAAAATATTGAAAAGCTATTGCCATAAATGAAATGGGCGCAGAGATGGAAAGGGACGGGAATTCACCCTGTGCCGAAAAGCGTATCCTGGTTTTGCACTCAAATGCCCAGGAAGCAGCAGGGAGAAAAACACTCTTGGTTAAACATCTATGAATGACCTCCCCATTGAAAAAAGGCCTCGAATATTTTAAATGAGAGAGGCAGGGCAAAAATATTTCAAAGAAATCAGCATAAATTAAATGAGCGCAGAGATGGAAAGGGACGGGAATTCACACGGTGCTGAAAAGCGTATCCTGGTTTTGCACTCAAATGCCCAGGAAGCAGCGGGGAGAAAAGCGCTCTTGGTTAAACATCCAGCAATACTCCCCCCACCCATTGAAAAAAGGCCTTGAATATTTTAAATGAAAGAGGCAGGGAAAAAATATGTAAAGAAATCACCATAAATTAAATGGGCACAGAGATGGAAAGGGAGGGGAAGTCACACAGTGCTGAAAAGCGTATCCTGGTTCTGCACTCAAATGCCCACGAAGCAGCGGGGAGAAAAGCGCTCTTGGTTAAACATCCAATGATGACCTCCCCATTGAAAAAAGGCCTCGAATATTTTAAATGAGAGGCAGGGCAAAATATTGAAAAGAAATCAGCATAAATGAAATGAGCGCAGAGATGGAAAGGGACGGGAATTCACACGGTGCTGAAAAGCGTATCCCAGCTCTGCACTCAAATGCCCACGAAGCAGCGGGGAGAAAAGCGCTCTTGGTTAAATATCCAACAATGACACCCCCCCCTTCCGGAAAAAAGGCTTCTAGCTACATTAGGACACCCCTGACTCCCTCTTCCTGCTATTTCTAAGATCTGAAAACAAGGGGAGTTGTTGAAATCCACCGCAAAGGCCCAGACGCAGGAAACCAGACGTTGTCCCCCGTGCGGGTCGCTGCATTGCTAATCCCGTTTGGCAAGGAGGAGGCACGGTTTCCAGTCATTCGGAATATGGATTTTATGGGCCACCCCCACTTCTACAGACGCGCCGGGCAGCCGGCCAGGAGGATGCATTGCTGTCTGCATTCTTCATTTTCAAAGGTCCTCTAAGCCGACAAGTCACCTCCAGCCGGGGCTCCCTTGCTGTGCCGCAGGAGCGGCGTGGGGCGGATTTCGGGGTTACACGGGGAAGGGCCATTTGCGCGCCCTACCTTGCAAGGGTGAGCCAGAAGGAGGCTGACTCTGGGGGGGAGCAGACTGGGTCAGATCTCTAGGGAAGGACAAGTCAGGCTGCAGACAGCTGTTGCCTGGGCCACCTGCCTAGAGTACACTGAGAGGGGGTTCACCCCCCCCAGAGATGGCCATGGGATGGTGTTCCTGGGGGCGGCCCCCCACCAGCTAGATCCCCCCCCCCACATAGGTACAATGCCCCAGATCACCTGCCTCCGCCCTGGCTAGGCCAGCGGGGACAGCCAACTTTCTGCCAGCTGAAAAGGCAACC